CCAGGAAAAGAGGGGGGTGGTTTGTACAGCAATGGATTATGAGCTAAAGTGCTAGATTATTTGTAATTCAACATTCAGGAAGCATCTGCTGCGTGGAGAATTTGACACCTGGTCCACAGAACCCTCCTGTGTGTTGTCCCCTCAGTGAAGATCACCCCCACCACCCTCCCCCCGTAGTTCTTTTCCTAGGAGTTCACTACAGTAAACTCAGTGCAGGCTTTAGCAGAAGAGCTCACTCTAAAGGTCTTTGGGTTTTAATCATTTTAAAATTTTTCTTATGCTTCTCACTCTTCATCACAAAGTGAATAGGGCACCCTTTTGTTTTACACAATTATATTCAATTATCATATCTTAACAAGACATTATTTATGATTCCAACTGGGTTACTAATGTTTTTTTCATTGTTAACAGTAAAGCCAAAAATTAGAGACACGTCCTCTAACTTAACATTGTAAAGACACTCATACTAGGAGATCTAGTTGGTGGCAAGTAATATATCCAAATGATGAAAGGAGACATAAAATAAAGGGCTAGAAGTGTGTTCACTTCCTAAGTAAGTGGGACACTAGCACTATCTAAAATATAGTCTTAAATCTCTTATGTGTACATAAAATAAAGTGAGTTTTATATACCACTTAACTCAAATTTATCTTCCATTTCATTTGTATAGTAATTACATTCATACTCAGTGATACAAGGAATGGTAATGAACCTCTTTGGAAAATGTTAAAGTGTTCCTAAATGTACAATAACTCCTCTCCCTGTCTCATTATTTTTCCCTTCACGTACGTCTCATGTAATCATTTCAGTGATACTGAGTTCATTGTGGGGAGGTTTATGCCTAGAAAAGGTTTTCACCAATTCTGTGCCTCCATTATTACAGTAGCAAGGTGGAGAAGGTTCCCTGATCTCCCAGAATGTCGTGTTGGATGTCTCGGTTCTATAAATAGTTTGCCTTGACATTTGCATTATATCAGCTGATGATTATCATGCCCTAATTTCCATTTCAGTGTGTCAGTGATCTTCTATATTAGGTACATGCTATTCAGAGATGGTCCTCCATGGTCAGATCCTTTTCCCTTAAACAATTTATTTTTTTTTATTTTTTTTTTAAGATTTATTTTATTTTATTTATTTGAGAGAGCGAGAATGAGAGAGAGTACATGAGAGGGGGGAGGGTCAGAGGGAGAAGCAGGCTCCCTGCTGAGCAGGGAGCCCGATGCGGGACTCGAGCCCGGGACTCCAGGATCATGACCTGAGCCGAAGGCAGTCGCTTAACCAACTGAGCCACCCAGGCGCCCTAAACAATTTATTTTTAACAACTTTTAGCAAATCCTACCTTTCAAGCCTCCCAGTCGGGGTTCTTTTCTGCTAATCTGCCCAAGCAAGGAATAAAATAAAAACACCTCTTCCACCATGCAGTGAGAACTTTACTTCTGCCAAAGTGAAGGGAAATATTTCCACATTTGTCTAGTACATATTTTTATTCTACATCCTCACACACACCTTATATTTTAAGGCAGTTTTCTGAACTAAGTGCTTTATTTGCTCACTGATAGAAATATTAGAATCATAACCAGTTTTCTTCCTTGAGGCTGTGACTGGGAGATTAAGGTGTACTTTTTTTTAAGATTTATTTATTTATTTATTTGAGAGAGAGAGAGCACAAGCGGGAGAAGGAGACAGAATCTCAAGCTGATTCCCCACTAAGCGTGGAGCCTGATGAGGGGCTCATCTCACCACCCTGAGATCACAACCTGAGCCAAAACCAAGAGTTGGAGGCCTAACCCACTGAGCCCCCAGGTGCCCTTGGGAGATTAAGGTGTATATATGAGAGAATCAATGTTTTCCTAAGAATAAAGTCAGAGAAGTTGTAGGCAATGATATCTGGGTGCTAGGCTGCAAAAGAAAGAAAAAGGAGTATGACTGTCTCAGCAGTGGAATTATGGAGACCTTAGGAACTGAGGTAAAGGCCCCAAGACTATTAGCTCTGCATAAGAATGTGTTTAAGAGTTGAGTACTTGTGAGGAGAAGCCAAAAGAGGGCGCCATCGTAAGTATTTTTTCAGTGTGGAATTCTTTCCATAATCAACTTCATGTCATATTTTTTTTTTTAATGGATGTGAGCTTTAAATATTTGAAACACGGGTAATCATTAGATCCTAAAAATGAGTTAGTCGAGACGATGGTGAATATAACCTTCCCTCTGTATAAGAAAAGACCCGACAGGGAGGAGCAGGCCTGAAGTGGTGCGGTTTGGCCCGTCTTCGTCATTTAGCAGTGGCCTCATGTGAGAATGCTCTGGACTGCCTTCTGTTTCTGTTTCACCCCATTAATTGTGCTAAAGAAATACACTTGGCATCGACGCTGGGTAGTCTCATTTAGCCCCAGTGGCTGCCAAAGGACTAAGGCCATTAACTGAGGCAGCTCAAACGGAGCCGAACGCTCCACCAGTAAGGCAACAGGCTGCCCTCCATCACTGACGATGGGGCCTGTGGGAGTGTTTGTTCATGCAGACCAAATGTGCCCCACCAAGGCGAGACATTTGAAAAGGTACGGGCTGCGATACTGTCCTTTGAATCCCCAGGGCTTCCCTTCTCAATTCTATTCCCCTGCCGTCTCCTGACTGTCTTGAGGTCTTTCACAAAAGAAAATGAAGAATGCAAATACAAACTGTAAGTTAGAACACAATTTTAAAAGTGCCACAGTAAATTTGAGCACCTGAAATTAGAAGTTACTCAGTTACCCCTTGGTAATGATAACTCTCTGGTAACTGTCTCTGTGAGCTGATACAGTGAAGAACAGCAAGCACATGATCCCTTGCCCTGGAGTCCATCAGAGAGAAACTTTACACACACACACACATCTGTAGTTAGTGTGTTTCTGTCACAATTCAGTAGTCCTGGTAGCAGTAAAGAAGCAAAATCAATGTAGGATGCTTTACCTATAGTCCCACCTAGAGGCAGGAGGACGAACCAGCTAGAAAATATTTTTTCATGTTTCTTCCCAAAAGGCTCCATTTGATTTTGATTTTATTCTGTGTTAACACTTTCTCGTTATTTCTCATACCGGGTTTTTTGTAAACTACAACAAAGCAAGAATGTGTTGAGTCTACTGAAGATGTCAGTGAAACCGTTTGGGGGTTAAAAGAAGACACAGGGCTAGTTCCCAAAATGTTCTAATCTCCAGTGAGTCACTAGACCTCTTCCTGATGAACTTCAGAATAAACACATCAGCAAAGAGTCTTAAGGCTGCCTGATTTTACCATTCCTGTAGAACTGTACCTGAAGAGAAGTTTCTTCCCCTGTCAAACTTCACAGTGTTTACATACCAAGATCTCTCCTGTAAGGCCCCATGACCACTGTTAGCTAAAATGGTTTCCTATTAATGCTTTTAATAGTATCAATATTTGACAAGCTGTGAAATATTTTTTTTTGATGTGCCATTTACAATTACTCCTCTGAAGGCTCACCTCAGAGCACCAGCCAGTGCTAGGCATTACCCAGGAACAATGAGTGTGCAATAATTTAGTCTTAAACCTGGATAGCTCAGGGCACCTGGGTGGCTCAGTTGGTTAAGCAACTGCCTTCGGCTCAGGTCATGATCCTGGAGTCCCAGGGTCAAGTCCCTCATGGGGCTCCCTGCTCAATGGGAAGCCTGCTTCTCCCTCTGACCCTCCCCGCTCTCATGCTCTCTCTCTCTCTCATTCTCTCTCAAATGAATAAATAAAATCTTAAAAAAAAAAAGAACCCGGATAGCTCAGTATTGAGTATGACTTCTTTTAGCTGCATTTTATGGAGGTAAAAATCAAGTTAAATAGTACATCTAGGTCACCAATACAGGCTTGACGCCATAGACCATGCCAGTGCATTTTCCAGAAGGTATTCTGTGGATGACCTGCATTAGAATCACCAGGGAAGCTTATCGAAAATATAGATTCCTGGATCTTAGGAAAGAACCACAGAATTAGGGGAGGGGGTAGATACCAGGCCTCTGCATTTTTATCAAGCACCTCAGTGATTGTTAACCTACACTGTATAGAGTTGAACAGCCTCCTGATGCTGCAGGAGAATTACAGGGCACAAAATGTGAAGGGATGCTGGGTGGGGTGCATCTGGCTCTGACATTTCTGTTCTAATCACTAAGTAACCACAGGGTTTCAAAGATTACCCAGGTGACCTCAGCATGTTCAAGAGGAGGCCAGAACAAGAGCTTAATATTTTCTATGGCCAAGTGGACATTAACTTTGCACTGTTCACAAGTCTCCAAAGAAAATTTGGCTAATGAAAGAAAAACAAGCAGATTGGAGGTGGGGTGGGGGTGGGGGGGCATTGGAATGTTGGAATAAAATGAGAAAATGAATTTGGCGATTTGATTGGCTGGAGTTGAAAAGCTTACTGCAGGACTCAGCCTATTGCTGATCAAAAAGTGGGGCAAGGAAAAAGCTGGAACTTTCCCCAATCTTCCCATATTTTCCTTAGGCTTTGATGGATGCTGCTATCCAGTGATTAATTGCAGCATCCCCAGTTACATAAATGCTTAGCAGCAACTTCTTCTTCTTCTTTTTTAATTCTTTTTTTTAATTTTATTATGTTATGTTAATCACCATACATTACATCATTAGTTTTTGATGTAGTGTTCCATGATTCATTGTTGGCGTATAACACCCAGTGCTCCATGCAGAACGTGCCCTCTTTAATACCCATCACCAGGCTAACCCATCCCCCCGTCACCCTCCCCTCTTATTCTAACAAACAAAAACTCCTCAATCTGGGTTAAATGCTTCTCCTAAGACAGTGCATCCAGAAAATTCACAGCTGAAATTTCAGCTAACCACATTCTATAGAGAACTCTCAGCCATTCAGGTGAGTACTGAATGATAACAGTGCTCAAGGCTAGAAGTAGCGTTCATCTGAAAAGAACACTCTCGAATCAGTGGACCATTGTTCCGCCAGGTTTGCATGTGGGTGACTCTGAGATGGATATGTTTTTCTTCCCCAGTCTCAGGAGGCCCAGGTGCTGAAACAACTGGCAGAGAAGAGGGAACATGAGCGAGAAGTCCTTCAGAAGGCTTTGGAGGAGAACAACAACTTCAGCAAAATGGCGGAGGAAAAGCTGATCCTGAAAATGGAACAAATTAAAGAAAACCGTGAGGCTAATCTAGCTGCTATTATTGAACGTCTGCAGGAAAAGGTAATCCTGGCAAAGTTCTGGGCATAAGCATGCGTTCATATGCAACACAGCTGGGTGAGCTCTCAAATGCCCTGGCACCCGAGACTTAGTCAAAACTTGCTTCAAGTGAAAAGACAGCCAACCCCTTGGGCAGGTTCTCCCATGGTAGCATTGACTTCATGGGCACTGCACCGTGGTAGAGGAATAGGAACCCAACAATGAAGCTAGAACTGGGTCAGATTTTTTTAGCGGTGAATGAATTCAGGGAGGCTGATCCATGCTTTTCAAGTATAGAAAAGACTTCTGTACAAACTTGAAGAACCAGCCTACTAGAAAAATATTAAATTGGAAATATGAAATATGCCATATAAGTAATAATTAGTAAGTAACAATAATATATAATAAAATAATACATTTGATATTTACTTCACTAAAATGTAATGCTAAATATATAAATAATAATTTGGAAAAATACATTTGTCAGAAAATGACAGAATACCTATAAAAAAACGAGAAGCCCATAATCTCCATGTAGGAAAATCTACGTGGAAAACTAGGGTATAATAACATTGCATGAAACCAAAGCAAAGGGGAGCTAGTAAGGGATGTTCATTTCCCAAAGTTCTCATATCCTGGTGCCTTTCTTCTCAGCAACTCTTCAATCGGGTTGAGCAGTGCTGGAGATTCTCTGGAAAGTGTTCTCTCTTTCCTTTTTGTGGGCTCTATTGCTATCTATCCACCACCACCCAGAAAACTTTCCTTTGAAGATGTATAGCTATAAATAGTTTAGCTTTTCCATCTCCAGAAATTGGATGAAGCATTGAGAAATATGATTTTTTGAGAAACAATGCCTCAGTCCTTTCCTGAGCAATTGCCCCCAGCACCAGTACTGAGTGCTATGACATGTTGGCACTGGAGAGAAAAGTTGGACTCTCCCTGTCATCAGAGCATTAAGAATCTAGACAGGATCAGCCTCCTGTTTTCCGAGTATTTCTTAGGAAAACTCATCTCGTCTACTAGAATTGGCCCATCTCATCTAAGAATCAGGCAACCCTATTCTGATGTTCTCATCTATTCTGATGACTCTGTCTTCACTCCCATTCTCCGATTACAAATGTCAGGCCAGAACCAAAAGAAATCAGGCATAAAACCTAAAAATATAAACATTTAATTCCATGGAGACTTTGGTGGGTATCTGTGCTCTTGAGGAATTTTTGAAAGCATTGCTGGGGAAGCGTGTGTGGGCTGACACAGCAGGAGGACACCGAGGCTCTCCGAGGTGTAGAGAGAAAGCACTGGGTGACCTGGGCAGGAGCGGAGAGCCACTGAATGCCTTGGTCAGAACCTTAAAGTTACTTATATAAGCTAGTGCTTCCAACACTCTCAGAACAATGTCGTTGTGCTTCGCCTAAGTGCATCAGGTCAGAATTTGAAGGGGCACTTCGGCTCTCTGCGTGTTACACGTGGTGGTACCATAGCAAGTGCTTTGCTGAGATGCAGGAGAGCAAAGTTCCAGTGGATGAAACTTATGCCCCTCACCTTGAACCATTTGGTCTTCTTCCATTTATCCTCCGCTCACACGTTTATGCACAACCAAGGAGATTCTTGCTGACTGGAGCTGGTACCATGGACAGCAAAAGACCACCATGTATTCTGCTCTGAATAATTATGAGTCAACTCTCTCATATCCTAGGCCCGAAAAAAAAAATCAAGTGGAGTTGCTAGGAATGGGACATGCTGGTCATATTCCAGGATTTTCCATTAGACCTTAGTATCCAGTGCAAGATTTATATCATCAACCACCAAGACCATTATTGTTTTTGAAATTACACATATATAAATATGCAGCATGTCCCTCTTGATTTCAATTATAAAATGGTACGTGAAATTTCCATGTTTTAACTAGTATTTCCAGAAGTGTTCAATTTTAATAGGCAGTTTCTTTTTCTCTGTGTGTTTCTCTTCACTCACTCCCTGCCCAGCACCTTTTTTCACTCTTCCCCATTCTCACCCAGATTTAGTCTCTACCCTCTTTCAGACACACATGCATACAGACGTGCAATTTGTCCTGGAAATAATCAACCTGTGGACAGCTTAACATTCCTGATATGAAGCTGCAGAATCTCCAGGGGTGAGACCCAGGCATCTATATTTTTTTAAAACTCTCCAGATGACTCCAATATTCAGCCAGGTTTGAGAACTAGTGGTTTATATATTCTGATTTAAATCTCAGCTGACAATATTCTATCCCATGCTGAATGATACAGTGCAGATCATTTGTAAGACCACATTTCCCCTGGCATTTCATAGCCACAGAGATGCTTTTCAAATCTAATGAGATCTTTGGCCAGGGTTAGCCAAGATCTATTATCTTCTCCATAAAGTGGAGAGACTCCTTATGGAATACCAAATTTACTTCCTTTTGATGTATTTTAAATATGTTTTCTTTTTCCTAAAATAAGACAAAGTAAGTTTTTTATTATTACCTATGTCTAGCCTTTTGTTTGAATGAAATTACTGCACTGAGATTAAAATTAAAAAAAGAATCAGTAATAATAGTAATGCTGAAAATGCATGAAACTGCTAACATACATAAGCTGTTCTGGAATCTGATGCCTCAAAAGATGATTACACTGAAAATGAGACCTATTAATGAGTTAGCCATTCAATGAGTATTTATGGAGTACTGACCATGTGCTTAGAAACCTGGAAGGGGATGTAATATCAAAGAGCATTTACTAACCATCTCTTTCCCCATGCAGGCAATATAAAACCCAGCAATAAATAACCTAGCAGCAAAAATTAGAGAATAAGTCAACATATCATATGAACCAATAGAGATAGTAAATACAAAAGCACTGGGAAAATGTGAGTAAAAATAAATCCACATCAAGGCTAACACACTAAATTCCCACCATTTTGACAGGCCTCACTGACCCTATCAATTAGCCAGGAGACGTGATACAATTCCACGTGAGCTTTTGCCAGCACTCTGCCTCCCCCTCACCCTGCCCTTCACCCCTCAAGTAAGAGAACAGAGCATCCGAGCAGAGCATGTCTTCCCGTGGTGTCCATGGTTTCTTGGGTGTCATTCACTGATAACGTCCCACAAACTTCTTGGACTCAGCCATGTTAGGCTCAGAGTCTTTAGCTAAAACTGAAAGCCTAAAGCAAAAGCCATCTCAATTGCACTTTAGAATCCACTGAAGTACTCTTTAAACTAAGAGATTTCGATGTAATTGTCTGGGAAGGGACCCCGAGTTCAGTATTACTTTTAAAATTTGCCAGTCGGCGCTAATATTTAGCAGGAGTTGAGAACTACTGAGCTAAAGACTTCTTAAATATGCTTTGTTATGTTGTCATAAATTATATTTAAATATTCTTTAATCTGTGTTCCATAAAACTGTTCTTTTTTCCTTCAAAAAAGAATTTTACACTTTTTTTTTTCAATTTCTGTTTTCATAACACCTCACCTCAACACTCCAGCTTATTATATAGAAAGGAATCAAATGTGGAGAAAAGTGTGGATGAAGGAGGGGCTATGCCACAAAGAGCTACACTAGGCTGATCTGTTTCTGTCACTCAAATCGAAATTACACATACCCAACAGTCTTCAAGTTGAGTGACATAAATAGTCATCCCCAGGACTCAAGTGTAGTCTGTGGATTATGAGTGACACTCTGGTGAAGTTTAAAATGTTCTTATTCTTGGGATAGAATAATAGAAAGAGACACAGAGACAGAGACCGAGATGGAGACAGAAAGAAAAGCACCTGTTCCTGCCACACAGAAAGGATTAAAGAGACACTTTCTTCCTCCCCTAACATGTCCTTCCTCCCCTAACGCTCAACAGTATCCTGCAGAAAATGCGCTGCCTGGCCCACCAGGAACCCTGAGTAGCAACAGCTCTCTCATCAGACCCGAACAGGATCTGTAGTGGCTAATTTTGAAAAATCAGTTAAAGTGAAAAATAATACATACATTCATTAAACACGTAAATTTAACATCAAACATTTAAATGTACAGCCAATTACCAATCTTTTGATGTAGGCCAGGACCTTTGTGAGAAGTGGATCAGTTAATAGGGGTCCCATGTCCTTTTTTCCCCCCATTTTCCACCTATACCCTATTAGCCGTGTCTTACAGTTTCTGTTTCTTTAAAATTGAGTGAGGACTAAAGACATCTGCAAAATAATATGGATATATAGGATCTATACCACTTTTCTTTTTTTACAGTTTCTCCTCGCTTTTATAGTTGATCCAATATCTGATCATAATTCCCTTCCTCGAGTATTTCCAAAGCTTACCTTCCACCCTCACAATTTTCTATTACTGTAATATTTAATTGAGTCATATAATTAAATTTTCAACCAGCTAGCAGAACAGGCTGGAAATATCAATGACTGCAAGCAAGCATGTAACTCAACCAGTGAGAGGAAAAGTATGTGGAAATAATAGGGAAGAGCCTCCCAGCCTCACAAGCAACCCAACATTTAGGAGATACCAGGATGATGGAGGGGATGGAGAATGCTGGTTAACCTAGCAGGTCAACTGAAAGGACTTCCACTGAACCTTGTTGAATTCTCCACTTACTTCAAATGGTGTCACATTCTCTTGCTTTTATAGCACAACCCCACCACTCACTAGCCACTGCCAAGACTGCCCAGATCATAATATTGTGACAGAGACCAAAGGAATTTTCCATGGTGTTCAGGAGTGAGAGAAACAAAAAAAGGAGATGCCTTGACAGCTACTTTACCTAGCCAACCACAAAGGACAGTACTTAGGAAATAAGAGTTGTTTTAGTATAATTGATAATTTCACCTCTAACAATATAGAAAAGTTGAAGTGAAAACATTATAGCCATTATTTCAGGGACAATCACATCACATAATATGATATAGCTTAAAATAATAAAAATAGTTTGAGGGAATAAGATTCTGTGATTCTTTTCCTAAAGGATGATTTTGATGCTATATAACTCTTTAGATCGAGATTTCAGCCATTATTAGTTTTCATCTATGGTCAATTTTTATTCTTCTCATCTGACTTTGTTTTTTGGGGGGGGTTCATTCTTATTCACAAGTGCCATTTATGTATTTACTATTGAACATATCAGATGAATGAATAATGAAAGGAAAAGAGGAGTTAAAACTAGCTGTTACCAATTGGTCCCTGTAGGCCAGCCATTTTGCATGTACTATTGCATGTAATCCAAACAACAACCCTGAAAGGAGATACTGTTATTGTTCCTGTTGCACATCTAAGGAACTTTGTCCTTAGAAAGATTACGCCATTTGGTCAAGATCACAAAGCTAAGTAGACCACAGAGTCTAGATTTGAACCCATGTCTTTTTGATTCCCAACATCTATACTAAGCTAGAGCTGCAATTCTTTGTCAATCATCAAACACTGCTCAGTAAGCAGGCTTGGCAGTACCATTGGAAGTTTACACTCTGGTAACCACTGTCATCTTGATATATATGAAAACATGCCTTCCTGGCACTCACAGCTCACTCCTGACCCCTCTTTTGTTTTGCAAGTGCATGGTCATTTGTCAAAAAGAATTCTTGATGATATTGATTGACCTCATTTTGCATTTAAATAGACTCAGATAACAGAATTTCATAGATGGAACTGATACTCTGGGTCATCTAATTCAAATCCCTGGTTTGTATTTGATACCTAGTGAGGCAAAGGAGACATTAAAAGGTAAAGAGAAAAAAAGGAAGACCTCATATTTCTTGACTTCCAGCACAGAAATCTCTCTAATCACATTTTCTTAAGGAATTGGAATTTTTCCTAACTTTTCCTTTCATACATATTTGCGTATCAAGGGAATAGTTGCATACAATGCTAAAAGATGATTTATTACACTTCCCTTATATTGATGGGAGGAAGGAGGGAAATCGCAGAGAACTTTGTAAATGTAGATCTGCTTCAGTCTGTCTTACCAAGCGAATGACAGCACCCGCCGAATAGTGGAAGCTCAATAATGAGGTGCATCTTGTCAAAGAATAGCCTTGACTTTTTTATGAGCTTTCTCAGAGCATCACAACTACCTTAGTAACTTCTAACAATTGTGGTTTCCTGATTTAAAAAATAAAAATAAAAAATAAAAAAGACTATGTTGAAAACCTCCCGCATGTCTGCCCTTTGATTCTCCCACATTCTGATAGAAAGTCAAATTACAGTTTCATGGGTGTATATTTGGGGATTTGAATACAAAGTTTGCAAATAATATATTTACTAAACTACCTGAAAATAAACAATATTTTTCCTAGAAACTCAGAAATAATTTATTTTCCCCTTTTTAATGTTTCTCTCCAGCTCACAGATCTGTTTGTTCTTTCCTGTAGCAGAACCCATTTCCTTACAACTAATTTTGAGTTTCATAAGAAGTGTGTTCCAGGGAGGCCCAGGAATACTAATTATAATGCTCCCTGTTAGAAATTTGAGTTTGTATCAATCCTTAGGCGTGGGTCTCTGTTATTTTGCCCTAGTATACTAGTGGTCTGGGCTTTTTCTCAGTTTTTGTCAGAGCTCAGCTCTCACTAATTACCTTCTTGCTGCGTGAGAAAGATTTTGCTGCATGTTTTTCCTCATGATGGCGGGACAAAAAGAAGGAAGGGTCAGCTGTATCTCTGCTCCTTCCTCTGTGACATTTCTAAATGGGACAGACATGACTTCCTCATATAAGCTTTTTCCCCCTTCTCGTCACGGCTTTTCAACATACACAAAAAGCTCATTTAAACCAATTAAATAAAATTGTGTTTCAACTCACTGCAGTCAACTTCCTCCTTAGTCCAATTCTATCTTTGAAGGAAGTGTAAGATGTTATACGCCTTTTTCTCCCAGCACCCACATTTGAAAAGATACATGTTGCCGCACAACTATTAAATCTTTTCCCTCCGCTAACAGTGAGGTTGTGGAGTGGTAGTTAACAGAGTGGGCTGTAGAGCCGGGCTTCCCGACGTGGAGTCCCAGCTCTGCCGCTTGTTAGTTCTGTGATCTTGGGCAAGTGGCATAGGCTTTCCGTGCCTCAGTTTCTTCGTCTGTTAAATGGGAACCAGAATAATGCCTCTACCGTGGGATTGTTGTGAGGAGGAACAGGGAACTTAACAGGTAAAAATTTGTATTTATGCAGAACTGCTTACCTATTAAGTGCTTAATAAGTGCTCAGTATTGTAAAGAACACAGCAAGCAGGGACTCATTGAGATTAATCGAGTTTAATGATAAGATTTACTTTACAGCTGGTCAAGGTCTTTGCCCCTGAACTAAGGGAATCCATAGAGCCAGAAGAAATTTCTGGAGCTCCAGGGGGAAAAAATAGCAATATAAATAATACTCTAAGTAGAAAAAGAAATAATACTAATAATTTTTAGCATTTTAAAATTTCAATTCAACAAGCAATTATTTAGTACCTATGATATGCAAGACAAGGGGTTTATAGTCATTCAGTATAGAACTGTGTACTGAAAAATACCTGATCCACCCTTCCCCTCAGTTCCCTCCACAGAAAGTTCAGTTCCCAAACCAAACTTAGCGCCTCAGTTCCTCATGTAAATAAACAATCACGGGCTTAGTGCGGAACACTCTGCTATGCCCAGCAAGTGTAACAGAAGTGAGAAAATACAGTCCTGGCCTTCAGTGAGCTTATATACAAGCTTCTACTTAATATAGAAGATGAGACAAGAACAGGAATGCCCATCCTAGAAGTTAAAATAAAATGGCTGCCACTTATAAGCAAAGGTTTATGCAGGTGTTCAAAAGAAAAGTAAGATTAATTTTATTTTGTGGTCTCCTGAAAATCTTCGTGGAGGAAGACATAACTGCCACAGGTTTTAAAGAGTAGGTTTTTGATCCTGACCAAATAGAGACAGAAGACTAGGAATCTCAAGCATTAAAAATGGCATGAAAAGACAACTCCATTATATAAAAACATCAAGTATGTGTATGTAGGAGAAGAGTGGAGGGTAAGGCTGGAAAGGTCATTTGGACTCAAGCTTTGAAAGGCCCTGACAAACAGGGTAAACATTTAGGAAGCATACAAAAAGGCTTCTTCCGGTTCCATGGTGTAGTGGTTAGCACATCTGCCTTACAAAAAGGCTTCTTCCTGCAACTAATCCTCTCGAAGTGTCCACTGGCAATTATAAGGCCCTTAACAGATTCAGGAAGAGGGAAAAAAAGAAACCATTACAAATGACAGGGTAAGCAACAATGTGATGTTTTATTGCTACTTCCTGGATTTAGACAGTAGTCATCATATTCAAAATTCTCTTAATCATAGGACCTTTCGATCATAGTTTTGATCAAATACAGCATTAAGGTTTTTTAAGACGCTGTAAGTCTTATAAGATCCTCCATAATATGACACTTCCTGGGTCTCCTGTGGTCATGTCCCGTGAAATGAGAAAATTTCCTAAAGATAGACACCAAACAACTGGGTGACTTTCAGTGAGACACGTACCCTGTAAAGGAGTAGGCAGGCCTTCCCGGGTCTCCGTGGAGCAGAGAGCCGGGCTCTGTGACGTTGCTTCTCCCTTTGGTGTTTTCCAGGAGAGGCATGCTGCCGAGGTGCGCAGGAACAAGGAGCTCCAGGTTGAACTTTCCGGCTGAAGCGATGGAGGGTATGGCACGCCCCACCATTAGTAAATCCCCCTGCCTATATTATAATGGATCATGCGATATCAGTATGGGAAATGTATGACATGGTTTAAAAAGAACTCATTATAAAAAACAAAAAACAGAATCAAAAATTAAAAAAAAAAAATTCAATGCGGTCTCTTTGCAGAATGTTTTGCTTGATGTTTAAAAAAATACCTTGGATCTTATTTTGTAAATACTTACATTTTTGTTAAAAAATACAAGTATTGCATTATGCAAGTTATTTCATAATCTTACGTGTCCTGTAACAGGCTTTTGATGTTGTGTCTTTCCACTCAAATGAATTTGCTAGGTCTGTTCTTTTTGAACCCTTCATGTTGAACTCCATTCCCTGCCCTTTTCATCCCAACAGAAAAATGAGGTCAGTAGACAGTCCACGGTGCTAGAAACCCACCATTGCCTAATGACCTAGACGGCTGTGTAATCTCTGAACTTGACTAAGACCATACCTAGGTTACAGGTATCATGATTCCACGCAAACCTCCACATTTGTTCACTCATAATCTACTAACTGCCTAGAAACTACAAAACCAGGCTGAGAAAAAAAAAAACAAACAAACAAACACCATTCATAGCATTTACTTCTGCTTCTACTGGATTATGTGCTACAAATGTGCTTTGGCTTTAGAAAGGGATGGATGAGAAGACAGATCTGAGATCAGTCTGGGTAGAAGCAAAAAGTTGAACCTCTTAAAACTGCTGAACACGGATCCAAATCCAAATGGTTCAAGCAGCCATGAAATCGCTCTTCATGAAGTGGGCTTAATTCTCTAGTTTAAGTTCTTTTGATGGAATGAATTACTTAATGTGTCAGGTGGCTTATTTGTGGATGCCATGATTGATGATGTTCATTTTAAGCTCTTACCTATAGTACAAGTACATGATGCTACTGAGTATTTTTCCACTTGGAAACTGTGAGCTGGTTGTTGCATTAAAACACACACACGAACAAGATCAAAAACACTGCGGACTTTCACTCAAGCTGGTCTTTCTTCCCCAGTGTGAGGCAATCCTGCCTATTAAAATAAAAAGAAACTTACTCCATCCGTGAGGGCTGATACAGCTAAGGGGGCTAGGCAGGGCATTTGTGCCAACTAAGAATCACCGGACACCCACCATAAGTACCTATCGCAGTTTTGAAGTCGTTTCTCCCCCAAATCCCAACTCCTGAAGGTTGCTGCCTGCCTATTTACTCTTCATTAGTGCTATTTTCCTGTATGTCGTTGTGAGCAAGCTGTGATTAATAAAGAATTGGAGTTCTGTGAACTAACAAAGGTTCGGTCTGGTCTCTTGCCCCTTCACGTATCTGACCCTGGAGTTCAGATTTTGAAAGGGTGGCCATCGGATTAGACAATCCCCTAAGCAGCGAGACAATAATTAGAGTTTGAAGGAAACCTGTGCCCTGCTGACTCACTTCCGTCCTAGGGCAGCCGGCAGCCTCTCTTTTCTCTTTCACTCTGACAGGCCGGCCCAGCAGGCGAGGTCTTCAATCTGTTCCCCTTCAAAAAAAACACTCAGGACCGAAGGAGATAACCATAGGTTCAGACGGAACATTCTGAGAAAGAGACCCCCTTTCAAAGCACTTGGAAGGTTCCTGGCACACCTCGCGTTCTCCCATGTGGGCCCAGACCACCTTTGCCAGTCTGTGAGATGTGATTTCCCTGCCGTGCTGCTGAATTTCGCACTGCCAAGGAGCACACTGCACACATGGACACAGCAGGGTCCTGTCAGTGACCCAGATGGGTCCTCCAGGACCAAAGGAACCACATCCAGCTTTAGCAGAAAATCACAAATGATTGAAACCACACAGACTCATGAATAAGTAAACTGGGCTATCGTCCATAGGAGCACGAACAAGCCAAGTCTGGGAGGGGGGAGGCCACCTGGCCCCCTATCTTGAATATCCTTGATTTATAGGAATCTAACGTCACAGCCATCAATACGCATGCTTACAAACATGAGCTCCATTATCTTCCTTTGGGAAGTCGATCACAGCTTCTGATTAGCATAAAATAATCTGTATTTTCACATTGCTTTTTATATAACTTAGTTTGTAATTTTTTTTTAAAGATTTTATTTATTTATTTGAGAGAGAGAATGAGATAGAGAGAGCATGAGAGGGAGGAGGGTCAGAGGGAGAAGCAGACTCCCTGCCGAGTGGAGAGCCCGATGCGGGACTCGATCCCGGGACTCCAGGATCATGACCTGAGCCGAAGGCAGTCGCTTAACCGACTGAGCCACCCAGGCGCCCTGTAATTTTTTTTATATACCATTATTCGAAGGGTTCCCATTGGGCCAGACCCTGTGATTAAGCCCTGGAAACATGAAAATGAGTGACCACAAGAAGCTCACAATTTACTTGCTTAGGTTTGGCTCAGAACGAGCAAGTAGGATATTTTGGTCTTTCCTTGCAGCATATTGAGGGGAAACATAAAATTTCTGTGAAGGTTTCTGAAATATTAGAATTGGTTGACAAACCTCTCACACTACTTTGTGGGTCCCTAAACTGGAAATGCTGACCAGTCCAACTGCCTAATCCCAAAAGTGAAGAAGCTAAGGCACAGAGAGACAGAGAAGGATAAGTGATTTTGCTCTAGCTCACGAGGCCCACTTAGCGTGATTGCTCTCCTTATTAGTAGCTCATCAGCAGACCATCCTCAAATCTTACCACACCAGTGAGGATGTATTATGTCTTTGAAACTCCCCTAGACTAGACTACTGGTTCCCGAATTTTGGCACGCTTCAGAGTCATTTGGAGGGCTTGTTAAAAATAGATTGCTGAGCTCCAACCGCAGAATTTCTGATCCTGAGGTCTGTGTGGCAGCCTGAGAATGTGCATTTCTATCATGTTCCCAAGTGGTACTAACCTCACTTGAGAGACCCCACTACAAAATGGCATTGATACAGATGTGTGGACTCTTGCTGATGGTCACAATGGTGATATTGTGTCAGTCAGGGCAAGTTCCACTGGGGTGGGCCGTGAAAAAGAACTCACTCAATCGTACTCAAAAAAGTATAAGTGGAACCCAAAGGAATCCAAGAAGAAGAAAAATGAACAACTACACCTTCCAGGTTAATAAAACAATAGAAAGAAAGCATCTAAGAGACAGATGAGGTCGAGGAACCAATAGTCTTGCATCTCTGACACAATGTATTATTTTAGTACGGCTTAAAACATCTCCTCCTGACCCTTTAAGAGTTGAACTAAGAGCTCTTTGCAGGGATGATGTCATTCTGTGAATTATCCACAGATTGTTAGTCTTATTCCACTTAGAATTTTTTTACAGAGTCTAGTTTCCTCAGAAATATGTTTAAATTGCATATATGACTTTGAAATGCACTCTGAAGAAAATTCACATAATCTCATTGGTTTAAAGATTTACCCTCCTCTCCTATTTCTTCTATACTCAAAAATATATGGAACAACTGAGGGTTGAAAAATGTTGTTTTCTCTGGAGGCAAGCACCGGCCTTTACAACATTTCTGAGGAGAAAACATAGGCAAAAATGTACTGATGGCCATCCACCACATCCACCCCCATCCCACTGAGGGAGAGAACAAGAAGGAAGAGATATGACACCCTTGACTTTAGCAACCAAATAATCACCTTTTGTGTTCCCAGCCCTGAACAAGCAATGATCCTTGACTTCTAATCAGACAATTTGCTGAAAATTCCTAAGGCAAACACACAGCCCAAAGCAAAACTAAGATTCCCAAGCTCCTCCCCCATATTACTGTGGAGTCATCTTGGATCCCTCACTGTCCCCACCACCCACCTCCAGTTGATCATCAAGTAGCATCAATTTGACCTCAAAACTGTCCCTCATTTCTTGCTTCTTTTCTATTACCATAATCAGTGCCCTAGTTTGGGTTGTATTAGCCTCTTACAAAAAAACATGTCTCCTTCACTCCACTCTGCTGGAGCTGAATGAAATCTGCGCTCTTCTGCATGGCATTAAAGTGCCTCACTATCCCCCTCATTTCTCAAGAACATTACTCCCCTTGGACACCAAACTATTCACTCTGACAAGAAACTTCTGGTCTCTATGCACATGCTGTACTCTGCCTAGAATTACCTTCACTACAAATTAGCCAGGAGATGCTAGATCAGGCTGTGATAAAACCTACAAAATCTCAGGGAGGCTAGTAAATCACAGAGGCTTCTTTCCTACTCCTGATCCATGTCCAGCATGGGTCACTGTGGACTCTGTGTCACTCCTCACTCTGCACTAAAGGCCACGGAGCTGCCTTTCTCTGAGACACTGCTGGTCACCGTAGAAGGGTGAAAGTGAAAGCAGGCAAATCGTGCACTGGCTCTCCTAAGCTTCTCCCCAGAAACAGCGCACATCACATTTCATTGGCCAAAGCAAGTGATATGTCCACGTTTCACTCCAAATGGGCAGGAAAGTGCAATCCCAACATAAGCTCAGAAGGAAGAAAGCCAGGAATATTTAATGAACAGCACCAGTGACTACCACCCTACTGGTCACCAAACATTCAGTCACTCTCCTTCCCACACGTAAAGCACACTCACACTGTCCTTGTAATAAAATCCCCAGGTCCATTTGACCATAGCAGCAAGCTCAAGGTCCAGGGTCTCTGGGTGATGATGAACATTACTCTCTCTGACAGATGTGGACATGAGTTCTCTTGAGCAGAGATAAATTAATTAGGAAGACAAATGATTTTCCCCAACATATTTAATATACAACGATGAAATGGGGATAAGATGATCACAATAAACACACTTGTTCTAAAGGGAAATAATAGAAGATACATAGCATTCACTGACAATAGAAATTCTGGTGAGACACTGTGAGGGCCCTCTATCCTTGGGATAAAGAGGGAACATTCCTTATTCCTGTCTCTATTCTGATAGCCAGGGAGGAGGTCTCCCATCCATGGTTCTTGGTTCTTGGCTCTTGGCTCTAAGTAGGTCTGCCTGTTCCTTCATTCTCCTTGGCCACATCTACAGGGGCACTGGAGAATGTGCCTTCCTTGGAATCCGAGCAGTTCCCTCAGCCAGCTTGCTGCCCACCATATGGATCCAAGAGTTGCTGAGTTTTTACTGATCATCATATTGGTCCAGATCCTGGCAAGAAACCAATGATACATCACTAGAAATGGGTAGATGAAGAGAAATTAATGATGATTCTATTGCAATAGAATGGTATGGACAGATGAAAAGAAACCAACTAAGGATGGCAAAGCACCAAGGGGGTACCAACAGAGAGAAGCCATTTCCACCCACAGCCTGAAGACCCAGGACACAGCTGTACCTGTAGGTTGCCCAACCTGAGGTTATGACCTTCTGGAGAGGAACTCAGCCTCTAACAAACACAGCCTGGCAAGGAGGGATTGGGGAATAAATGTCCTACCATCCTTCTACTCTCACCCTTCAATCTCTAGCCAAGGCTTCACATTGGCCAAATCCCCAACCAGAAACCAGAGGGCAAGGGAGCCCAGTTGACGAAGCACATAGAAGTCAGCCTCTGGGGGTGGGCAAGAAGAAGAAAGGTAGAGAAAGACCCTGGAGAGACAAACAGAGAATGTGGCCAGCTGCAGCACAGACCACAGACTGATTCAGTGGACAGCATTAATGACAACTATGATGTCTTCTCCCTTATTTGTCATTAGTACTGCCCATTAATTATTCCT